AATTTCAATAACCACTTTGGAGTCTAGAACATGAGCTGGTTAAGTCTAGGAAGCACAAATGCAAAAACAGAATGCAAGAGGAGGTCAGTGTGCCCAAGCTGGAAAAAAGTCCTGCCACTTGGAAGTCTTGAAGATCTCCGACAGACATTCACATGATTTGCTGCCAGTGATGCCAGCTAGAAAAATGTAGTGCGGAATGTAACTTGCATACCTCTATTGTCGTAAATATTCAGTTAAATATTCGAATGTACTTACTGAGTGGCTTCTAGGTGCTAGAATTTTCTTCTGAGCATTTGGAATATATCAGTCTGACAAAGAAAGATTCCTTCCTTGAGGAGTATACATTCTAATGGAAGAGAAGGGAAGAGACAGACAATAAACAATAATCAGAACAAATGAGTATATTACGTTGTATATTGGATCATATTAAGAGAAGGGGGAAAAAGAGTTGGGTAAGGGGGTGAGGAGCACTGAGATCATGAGGGAGAATAGTTTGCAGTACTGAATATGGTAATCTGGGGAGGCTTCACTAGGGAGGTAGGATTTTAGCAAAGATTTGAAGGAGAGGGGTTAGCCCAGTGATTACTTGAGAAGGAGCATTCCATGCAGAAGAGACCGCTAATGCAAAGACCATTATGTTGGAGCATATCAAGCATGCTTTAAGAAATAGCAAGGGAGTCCTGATGGCTGGAGGAGAATGAGCAAAGAGGAAGAGTACTAGGAAATGAGGTCAGAAAGGTAATGGAGTGGAGACTGATTATGTAGAGTAATGGCAAAGACGTGGGCTTTGACTCTGAGTGAAATGGAAAGTTACTGGAGGATGTTGATTTAAGCTAACTTCTTAAAAAGAACATTCTGACTGCTGTGCTGAATATTAGCCTGTAGTCAAAAAGTAAAGAAGCTGAGAGATCAGCTTGGAAGCTCCTGCTGTAACCAAGTAAAAGGATGGTGGCTTGATTCAACATGGTATCCATGGAGGTAGTTAGAAATGTTAAGATTCTGGATATATTTTGAGGGTAAAGCTAATAGAATTTCCTGACAAATTGTGATGTGTGAGAGAAAGAAAGGAATCAATAGAGATCCCAAGTTTTAAACTCAATTATCCATATTAATAGCTTTTTTATTTTTTTTACTATTCTTTTACACAAGAATTTTTTACTATTCTATTACACAAGAATTACAATATTTTGATTATTAATAACCCATCCTAAGGTGAAAGTCATACTCTTGAGCAATTTACAATCAGAATTTACCTTAGGGATTTAAAGCATTGTTTCTATGCCCCTTTTAATTTTAATTTTTACCTAATTCAGCACTTAAGAATTACGAGGTAGAGCTGTATTGTAAAATGTCACTGAGAAATGTAAGATTATATAATACTGTTTTCCTCCTCATCTGAAAACATCACTGCTGTTCAACATGGGAAATGTCCTTTGCATTTTAACTTTTAGAGAATAAGAAGTGGATATGTCTTGATAAACTATATAATACTTTTATGGAGTGCTTTATCATTTCTGACATGGTTTGAAATATTGCATTCCATCCTCTCCATAACCCTGGGAGACAGCAGGACAGGAAATATATGTAGGAAATTGAAGAGTTTAAGGGACAGAGTAGCCACCATGAGAACCTTTTTACAGTCTCAGCTCGCTCACTTGTGTTCTTTGGGCTAGTTCCAAGTGATAAAGGAAGACGGGGAATTTACTGTGTCCTATGCTCATTCAAAGCTAAGTGGCCACACAAGGATCAAATCTATGACTTTGTTTTCATCACCAATGCCTCAGCCAATTGGGCTAACAAATCATTTCAGACATCAGATTTAATCACAAATCACATTACCAGAATCATTTAATCATTAGTTCCCCTTTATTTTTCTCACTATTTTTGTATTTTTTCATCTATACCATCTTTCTCATCTGTCTTATCCAGAAAGATCAACCAGGGCTTTGCTGACCTCTCTTCAAAGTACTAAAGCTTGCTTTGTGGATTGCAATCAAAGAATCTCAAAAATGAACAATGTCACCATCAGAGTACACATGAAAATGGGGAGAAGAAAGGTGCCATTGTAAAGATCAACAAGGTGTGATACATAGCTTTTTCCTGTTGAATCCTGAAGCTATCAAAGAACAATGTGCCTTGCTTTCAAAAGCCTTGAGGGAAATCTACACCAGCAATGTATACATTATAACCAACCTCCTGACCTCAGTGTCCTCAACTTTTAACCTTTTACCCAAGTGCTGCAAGCACATGGCTAGGGAAATATAATGGGTGTAATAATAATCAAATTGCTGCAATGTCTTTCTTTAAATTAAGCCATGCAATTAACTTATACTAGTCTCATTTTCAGATGCAGAAATGAAGTCTAGTATTAGAATTCGAAGATAACCTTAGGATTTTTTACAATTACGGTCAGTTTTGGGGGCAGTGGAAGGGAAGCAAAGTCATTTAAGGAAGTAAAAGACACTTAATTGCTACGGGGGAAAATTTTAAAGGACGTAGAAAGACTCATTTGTAAGAAGTGCAGACAATTGCAAAATGGCATTAATAATAAGTAATGCCATTAAAGAGACCGTTCTTTCTAACCACCCACACCTCCGAACCATCGTGGGGCCCCCTGACTTCCTGGTTCTCTCTACCCTCCAGCAGCGACGCCCCTTCACCCCGTCACCGTCAGGGGCTCAAGTGCCATCCTCACCGGGAAGCTCATTATCTACCTGCTCCCCCAGCTTCTCTGAGTGACACGCCACCCACGCCTCCCCGCACAGCTCTTCTCCTTCCGCGGCTCCCGGAGGGAAGCTGAGGAGCTGCAGAGGGAGCCCGAGGCTACCCTCGCCCGAAGCCCAAGACGACGAGGCTTCAAGACCCCTGTCACCCACTGTGCGCGCGCCCTGGCCGTTCTCCCGCCCCCGCCGCGCCCCGCAGGAGCCGGAGCCCGCCCGGCG